CATTAACCCACAGTGCCACATTTATTATTAAGGCCACTTATGATGGCCTTAATGTCATCCCACAGTTCTTTTGATATTCAGTCCTTCGTGTTTAATGTGTCAAATCTGTTCTTAAGATGGTCTCTTAATTCAGGTGGGATATATTCCAGGTCATATTTTGGCTCTCATGGACTTGTTTTAATTTTCTTCACTTTCAGCCTGCACTTGAATATGAAGTGACCTTGTGATTCAAATTGACTTTAAGGTCCAGTGCTTACACCAGGCTTGCATATCTGAAAATAGTTAATAAAAAATAGAAAGCTCTGTTAAACTTTTATAAAATGTGAACCATAGTGTTAAGTCTACCACTCATCTGTCAGTTTGTTGTACTGTGTGGCTTGCATGTTGCTGTGATTCTGGCAAGCTATGCCACAGGTATTTTAAATACCAACAGATAGGCTTCAGCTGAGCTTCCAAACGAAGACAGTCTAGGAAGAAGGAGAGACGGACTACTTCCGAATACTTAGTCACTGAAAGCCTTTTGATTGGCAGTGGAACACTGTCAGTACCAGAATATTGAAATACGATGAAGCGCACCAAAATATTGTCAGATTTAGTTCCAGAAGATGAGCCCCTAAGCTTGGAAGGCATTCAAAATACGACTGGGGAAGAGCTGCCTACTCAAAGTAGAGTGGCCTGTGATGACGCAAACGGAGTAAAGCCTTCAGGACCTTCATTTACTGATGGGGCACAACTCAAAATGAAGAGAAACAGCTATAAACATCCTTTAACAATCAGAACATGGAAGGTATGAAGTGTAAATCTAGGAAAACTGGAATTGTTAAAAATAAAATGGAATGCATAAGCATCGATATCATATGCATTAGTGAGCTGAAATGGACTGGTATTGACTGTTTTTGAATCTGAAAATCACATAGTTTCTTATGCCAGGATTCACAAATTGAAGAGAAATGGCATTGCATTCATCATCAAAAAGAACATATCAAGATCTATCTTGAAGTACAGTACTGTCTGTGATAGGATAATATCCATATGCCTACAAAGAAGATCAGTTAATAACACTATTATTCAAACACACACACCAACCACCAAAGCCAGTGATGATGAAATTGAAGAATTCTACCAGCTTCTTCAGTCTGAAATTGATCAAACATGTAGTCAAGATGTATTGATAATTACTGGCAATTGGAATGCAATGATAGAAACAAAGAGGAAGGATCAGTCGATGGAAAATATGGCCTTGGTGATAGAAATGATGCTAGAGATCACATGATAGAATTTTTGCAAAACCAGTTACTTCTTCATAGCAAATACTTTTTAGGACAATGTAAAAGACTACTGTATACATTGTACCTCACCAAATGGAATACACAGAAATCAAACTGACTACATCAGTGGAAAGAGAAGGTAGAAAAGCTACATATCATTAGACAAAACTAGGCCCGGAACAGACTATGGAACAGACTATCCATTATTCATATGCAAGTTCAGGTTGAAGCTGAAGAAAATTAAAAGAAGTCCACAAGAGCTTGACCTTGAACATATCCCACTATGACCTTGAACAATCCCACCTGAATTTAGAGATAAGTAAAGAACGGAGTTGATGCATTAGACACTAAAGACTGCAGACATCAAGAATATCATCCAGGAAGAAAGCAACAGGTCATTAAGATGACAAGAAAAAAGGAAAGACAAACATGGATGTCAGAAGAGACTTTGAAACTTGCTCTCCAGCATAGAGATGTTAAAGCGAATGGAAGAAATGAGGAGGTAAAAGAGCTGAATAGAAAATTTCCAAGGTCAGCTTCAGAAGACTAAGTCAAATATTATAATGAAATGTGCAAACCTGGAGTTAAAAACCCCAAAGGGAAAAACTCGCTCAGCATTTTTCAGGCTGAGGGAACTGAAGAAAAAATTCAAATCTTGACTTGCAGTACTGAAGGATTCTATGAGCAAATTATTGAATGATGCAGAAAGAATCAAAAGAAGATGAAAGGCATACACAGAGTAACTGTACCAAAAAGAAATGGTTGGTATTCAACCATTTCAAGAAGTAGCATATTATCAAGAGCTGATGATAATGAAGGAAGACATCCAAGGTGCATTGAAGTCATTGGCAAAGAACAAGGCACTGGGAATTGATGGAACACAAATTGAAATCTTTCAATAAACTGATGCAGAACTGGAAGCACTCACTCATCTGTGCCAAAAAATTTTAAAGACCTAGCCAACAGACTGGAAAAGTTCCATATTTGTGCCCATTCCAAAGAGAATTCACTCAACGGAATGTGAAAATCTTTGGACAATATCATTAATAACACATGCAAGTAAAATTTTGCTAAAGATAATGCAGAAATGACTGTAACCATACATTAACAGAGAATGTTCAAAGGTTCAAGCCAGATTCAGAAGAGGACATGGAAGGAGGGGTATCATTACTGATATCATATGGATCTTGGCTGAAAACAGAGAATACCAGAATGATGTTTCTTGTACTTTATTGACTACGCATAAGCTTTTGATTGTGTAGATCATGATAAGCTATAGATAAACATTACAGAGAATGAGTATTCCAGAACGCTTAATTGTGCTCCTGAGGGACCTGTACATATACCAACAGGCAATTGTTTGAGCAGAACAAGGGAACCCTGAATGTTTTAAAATCAGGAAAGGTGTGTGCC